CCAGGCGGGTCTTGAACCCGCGGGCTCAGACAATCCACTCACCTCAGCCTCCCAAAGCACGAGATTACAGGCTGAACCACCAAGTCTGGCTTTCAAACACTTTTATCCATTAATAATGGATTTGCTCCTCAGAGCAAGTTTGCAAGTTAAGTATTATTTACACTTTACATATTAGGTCACTGAGGTATTCTCATTTTCGAACACTGAAAGAGGTAAAGTAACTTACATAAGGCCACAGAATACAGTAGTAGAATGACCTTTATTTTGTAATTTTTGAGTACTTATTCTGTGTCACATGTTTTACTTGGCCATTAAAGGACCAGTGATGAGCAAAACAGATGGTTTTTAAGGAAGACAGGTAGTCACATGGTCAAACACAAATTCATAATCACAAACTGACAAAACCCATTAGGAAAAGGTAAAGGTTCTCTGAGGTCCATACTGGAGAATACTGGGCTTATTCTGGGTGAGGGTGGGAGTTTGGGAACGCAGTGACTTCTGGGCTGAGCTCTGTTTTGTTTTGTTTTGTTTTGTTTTTTTGTTTTGTTTTGAGTTGGAGTCTCACTCTGTCGCCCAGACTGGAGTGCAGTGGCCGCTTCCGGCCATCGCAGCCTCAAGCTGCTGGGCTCCGGTGATCCTTCCACCTCAGCCTTCCGAGTAGCCGGAATTACAGGCATGGGCTACCACGCCCAGCTGATTTTTTGATTTATTGTAGAGATGAGGTCTCGCTGCCCAGGCGGGTCTCGAACCCGCGGGCTCAGGCAATCCACTCACCTCAGCCTCCCAAAGGCGCGGGATTACAGGCTGAGCCACCGAGCCCGGCTGGGGCTGAGCTCTGTAGGAGTTATGTAGGTGGTAGGGCGAGGGGTATTTCAGGCAGAGGGCCTAGCATGTGCAAAGGCCCTGGGACAGATCAGCGCTTGAGGATCTGAGGGGAATACAGAGAAGGGTGGAGAGTGTATGACATAGGTCTGCAGAGGTAGAACCCAGGACAAGATAGCCTTTGTAGGTCTGTCAAGGCTTTTGGCTTCCCTCTAAAATCAAGGGAAGACAGACCACTGAGTTAGAGACACTTAGATTTGCATTCTGGCTAAGAGTGAACTGAAAGATTCATGTTTGAACTTTTCAAAGGCTGGTGTGATAAACAAGCTGAGAGCCTATTGTGATAATCCAGGCAAAAGAGGTTTTGGGCAATGGTGATGATGTACAGATGTGGATGAAGTTGAGAAGTTTAGGTGGGGAAACTGACAGTGCTAAGTGAGTGCCATGCTTCCCCCCCCCCTTTCTTTTCTGCCTGGGGTATACTCCCCGTCTTCATCTAGTGAATTCCTGCTCATCTGTCAAATGACACATTAAGTCTACTGTGTCAGGAGTAGCCTTGACCTGCCTGACTCAGTCAAAGCCTGTTATACCCTCTTGTTCTTGTTTGTACCTCTCCTCCACATCATACTTCAAGGTTAGAATGTATGTGATCACTGGACTAGCTCTGATAGGGCAGGGTTTTTTCCTGATATGGTCATCTTTTTGTTAACAGCTAGGTGTTCAGATCCATATATGACATACAGTAGGTAGATGATTCAATATTTGAATGAGTGGCTTGCATATAGTTTAAATATTGGTGGAATGGGTTGGGGAATGATTGGTACCATTCATCCAAGAAGGGGAAGTCTACAGAAGACCAGTTGTGAGGAACTGATGTTGAGTTCCATTTCATACATGGTACGGTAGAGGTGCTTGAGACATGCAAGTTGGAATGTCCTTGGACAGTTGGATTTTCAGGCCTGGAGTATGAAGAAGGTCTAGTGTGGGAATGATAAATGCAGGGGCTGTTCTGCATAAGATGGCTATGGAAATGGCAAAATGGAAGTTGTGGTAGGTTAGGTGAGGGTGTCTAGGAAGGGTGTAGAATAAAACTCAGAACTGACTGTTAGGCTCCAGAGTAATAGTGGCCACTTGGGTGTAGAATGAGATAAGAGAAAGATGAGAACAGTATGGTGCTGTGAAGCCAAGTTAAAAGATGTTTCAAGAAGGAGCAAGCAGTCAGCAAATGCAGCTGAGATGAGGAAATAAGAGGAAGACTGGGCAAGGGCTGCTGGATTTAGGAATGGAGTCTGACGTCCAGGCTGGAGTGCAGTGGCATGCTCATGACCACCACAACCTTGACCTACTGAGCTCAGGCGATCCACCTCAGCCTTCCAAACCATGCCTGGCTAACTTTCTGATTTATTGTAGAGACAGGGTCTCAAGTGCCCATGCTGGTCTCAAATCCTTGGGCTCAGGCAATCCTCTCTGCCTCCCAGAGTGCTGGGATTACAGACATGAGCCATGCTGCCCGGCATTTGAAGTGGATTATTCAAGCCATCCATGGTGATTGAGAGCTGTGTTGGTGTGGTAGGGATGGGAAGTCAACTGAAGTGAGGCTTGCTTTGAATCCTGAGAATGCATTTCAGAAACAGGCTATGAAAGAGATGCGTGAGGGGCTAGAGGAGGATGTACTGCTGAATGTTCTTTTAAGATGGGAGACACTTAAGTGTGTCAAATGCCACTGGGAAGGATTCAGTTGAAAATGGGAGGTTGAACACAGATTGTGACATCGGATTTTTGAGGCGGTGGGCAAATATGGGATCCAAGGACAAGTGGAAAGGTGGGGTTTGGGTAGGAATGAGGACACTTCAGGATTGGGCTCGGGTCAGTCCTGCCGCTCACGGTGCCCTTAGGCAAGTCATTCTGGGCAAAATGGAACAGTGCTGAATAATCTGTTTCATAGGATGGTTGAGAGGATTACATGGAGTAATAATGCCAAGTGGCATATAGCAAGCGATTTGTTAAACAGCGACTTTCCACCTGTCACAATGCTCTGGCCTGAGCTGTTTTCTTGGTGGGTGTGTAGGGGGTCCCGTCGGAAAGGTTTGGGAGCTGTGGAGGCTGCACTTAACTAGTGTTGACGTAGTGCTCCTACGCCTGCCCCACGCCTGGCCTCCGGAGCCCTGGGTAGGGCCGCGCTGGGTCCAATTACTCACTGGGAAGGAGCAGAACCTGGACCTACCCCGTGAGCCCGGGCCCCCGTCCCTGCCGGGGCAGGCGGCTGTGCGTCATGGAGGAGGACCTAGCTTCCCCTGGGCGCAGACCACCTCGGGCCATTTGGCAGCTTCTTCACCAGCCCTCCTGCCCTTACTCTTAAACTTTTTTCACCTTCTGGAGAAAAACCAGAAAACCTGGCAGAAATCACGAGAACTCGCTCGGCTCCGGTGTGGACCGGCGTCCTCTGCTGGGCCGGCGGGCCGCTGCAGGCCTAAGGAGGGAGCTGCGCTTGCGCCCTGGCGTCTTTCCGAAACCCGTTTGCACGTCACTAGGCGGCGCCGGGGAATCAAGCTGAACACGCAGGCGCAGACGGCCGGCTCGGGCTGGAAAAATTACGCTTGCGAGAGGCTGCGCTTAATTTAAAGGCAGCGCGGTTCCGCCGCTCCCCAAAGCCAATTCTCTGGCTGTGGCGCCACCTGGGGGAGTGGGCTCGGGAACGGCCGCTCCTGCCCAGATTAGATCTGCGTCTGGGGTCGGTAGGATCTAGGACACTGAGCTGCTGAGGAGCCAAGCCACGGAGACGTGGGCTCTGAGATGCCTTGTGCGAGCTGCGGGGCTAGGTGGGCTGGCCAAAGGCGGTGGCTCCTCCAGCATCCCGGGCCTGGTGCATTTTGAGGTTGGGTGAGGCATCTAGGCCGAGACCTTCCATCCTGCTCCACGCGTGCGTTCCTCCTCGCATCCTTAGCTCTCTGGGGCTAGAGTTTCGAGCCATGGGCATCTCTGTGTTTCCTTGGTCCTCAGTTTCCCCAGTAGTAAACAGCCTACTTTCCCCTTTGTAAATCTCAGGTGAAGTGGGGCCCTGGTTGTAAAGCCTGGACCAGGCCTGGCATCCCTTGGGTCAAGGTGACGTGCCCAACACGTCTAACACCTCTTACTTTGTCTTGGACCCAGCATGCCTCTCTGTGGCCCTCACGTGGATGGAGAGGCGTGATCTCCCTTCTCCCCACTACTGTTCAGATCCACCAGCCCTCCTCATTCATCCAGCCCTGGTCAAGGTGCCCCACCCCAGTGGCCTGGGTCTGGCCTCCTTCATGGCTGCTGCTTCGAGAGGTCCCTGTGTCCATAGGTGGTCAGGTAGCCCCAGTCTTGGACAGCTGCCTGCAGTCGGCCCCTGGCTCAGAGAGGGGAAAACACAGCTGAAGAAGGGCTGAGTGCCACTTTCCCTCTTCCATTTGTCTTGGAGGCTGACATGGGAGAAAACCCCAAAGGACCAAGTGCACCTTCACAGTTTCACCACAAGTATCCTGATTGGGCGTCTGGTGCCTAGCTGATAGTGCAGGCCCCGGCCGCAGCCCCACCGGAAGCCGGCGCTGCCAGCGGTTGGGGGCTGCAGGCTCAGACAGGAAATGCCCCTGGGTGTACCCCAGGGCCCATGGCCTACACAAAGATCTGTTGCTTTGGATGAAGACTGGCGCCATTTTGGAGCTGGGCCTGACTCTGGGACACTGACCTGGTCCTGGGGCTGGTGGTGGCTGGGGACTGCTCTGTCACCTACCGGGCAGGTTTGGGAGATGACAGGGAGGAAAGAGAGAACCTTCAGACTGGGCTAGACCCGAACCAAGAGCTGAATCAGCCTCTCCTACCATAGCCAAGCCCTTCAGGGTGGCCCCTACCCAGCCCTTTAAAGTCTCAACTTCCATCAGGTCCTTGGTTTCAGATGAACTGTGACAGATACAGAATGAAATGCAGGGAACACAGAAGTGAGCAGAACAGTAGTAGTATTGGGCACTGGGAAAGACAGATTGAATGGGAGGAGGGGGCAATTAGGA